GCAGCACACTCGACTATTCTTAGTTCTTGGTAGTAAAATGAAAACCATCTTAGTCGACAAGGCAGTCAATTTTAACAAAATGCTTGACAGAGTTATCTACCCATGTCTAGGGGTTGGGGTCATGGTGGTTAACAAGTCTGCAAAATTTCAAAGCGATATCTTAAGGGACTTGGAACATAATTGATGTGGTATGAAAAATTGGACAGAACATTAAACTAACGCCGACGCCCGGATGAGGTGAAAGCTCTCCTTATTCTTCGAATAGTCGAGCTATAAATTACAGGATGTAAAATCAAGGACGATTAACACAATTTTTTGTGTTCTAAAAGCACAACATGACAATATCTTTTTACAAATGTTAGTATTTATTATACTATTGATTTAAAAAGAACTTTTATTTAACAATAAACAATTGAAGTAGAAAAAAATCAGTATTTATTATATTGATTTAAAAAAGAACTTTTATTTAGCAATAAACAATTGAAGTAGAAAAAAAGAACTTTTATTTAGCAATAAACAATTGAAGTAGAAAAAAATCAGTGTTTAAAAATCACCAGGTACAATTTAAAATACATATCATAGCAAGAACTGTCACTGTAAGATGACAATGCCCCCGAAGCGCGCTTTGACAATGTTTAAGTTTTTAGAAAATTCTATGTTCAAGGTCAGGGTCATCCTGGGGTCAAGGTGATCAATGTGTGTACCTGCAGAAAGGTCATGTCCTAAGGAATGTTGTGTTCAAATATGAAGTAAACATGTTCCCTAACGAGGAAGTTATGTGCCAATATTTTCTAAGTTTTTAGAAAATTCTATGTTCAAGGTCAATGTCATCCAGGGGTCAAGGTCATCAAGGAATGCGCCTGATGAAAGGTAATGTCCAAAGGAATGTTATGTCCAAATATGAAGTAAACATGTTTACTGTCCAATGTTAAAGTTTTTATTAGAAAATTCCATGTTCAAGGTCAATGTCATCCAGGGGTCAAGGTCATCAAGGTATGCGCCTGGTGAAAGGTAGTGTCCAAAGGAATGTTATGTCCAAATATGAAGTAAACATGTTTACTAATGAGGAAGTTATGGCCAATGTTAAAGGTTTTTTTAGAAAATTCTATGTTCGAGGTCAATGTTACCCAGGGGTCAAGGTCATCAAGTTATGCGCCTGATGAAAGGTAATGTTCCTTTTGTTCCATTTCTTGGAGCAGCGAGCTGTTCTTTCTTCTTTGCCTTTCTATTTTTAATCTTGTCTATGACTTCCTTTATACGTTGTTTCCTATGTATGTCCTGTAAATTACAAAAAGATAAAATTTCGAAAGGTGCTTCATTTTGTGCTTCATTTTGTGCTTCATTTTATCAACATTGCTTACCTGGTGTTTAAATAATATTATTTAATCACTGTTGCACAAGAGATAGTATTTTGTGATTTTGTGTACTTCATTCAAACATTCTCAATTAATTGAAGTTTCAGAATAACAATTTTCTAATACTAACCATTAAGGAGAAGACCAGATGAATAACATTGATGAATAAAATTGGTGTGTAATTGTATTTTATGCATAATCAGTCATTTAAAGAAGAGTGTTGTGTTTCTTTGTTTTTTAGTTTTGTGAAAGGTATTAATACACTAAACGAAATCGATCATTCCGACAACATGTTCTATGTACATGTATATATATCGGTCAGAATAATTATGAATATATATACTTGTATAGAATAATTACAACTATACCTGTATGCATCATCATTTTATATCAGTAAATGCATTTTGTAATAATTCAATCTTAACAAGAAGCCAATAGCTGATTTGGCATATATTTTGAAAACTCGAGCTTATCTGCAAGTTTAAATCTTAGTACTTATAAGTTTCATTAAGTATAGATTGTTTGATTGATGGAAGTTAGACTCGGTTCCCCCGTGAGGCTTGAAATGAGTCACTTTTCTCACATTGAGGGAGAGTGTTAATGTCTTATGGTAAACGCATCTAGATCTCAGTGAACAAAAATACATAGACCGTCCAAATTGTATTGCCCGATTAGTGATGGATATGTATAACATCGCTAAATTACATTAATTAAGAAGAATATTCAAGCAAACTATAAAAACTTACATCATCTGACAAATCCCTGTCCGCCATGTTGCATTTCCTGGCTTAAAATGAGCGGCAATGCATCATCACAAATTACAAGTCACAACTTAGAAGTCACAAGTCATAACTCCCAAGTCAATAGTGAAAAGTCATTAAGTCAGAAGTCAAAAGGGCCCTCCAGTGCTTCCATAGATTTTAGATGTGGGTTATCTTACAGATAACTCTGATTTCTTCGTTAATAATTATTATCTTGCATGACGCATTAAAAGTCTGCGCCTACGTGCTTTTGCAGCTGCTAGTGCTAGTGCACGGAAATAGGCGATTAAACTTGTCATTAGTATTAGTAACGAAATTATAACTCGCGCATGAACAACCTATGCAGTACAATTAGTGAGGATTTTATATCATAATGATATCGGTTGCACTGAACTTTGCGGTGTTTTAAAGGCAGAGCTATCCAATGTTACACGGGTCTACCGTGGATAATTTATCCGAATTTACAACTACAACAGTATTTTAAGAGATTTACCGTGCAGAATTTACCTATATTTACAAATAAAAAACTAAATTTATTTAAGGTATTAGGACCCTAATGGGCACTATCAGGAACTAAAGAATTGACATCATAGGTCAGATGTATACCTTAAAGTACACCTGTATGCAAAATTTAAACAAAGTTTACCGTACGGAAATCAAGTTATGGCCACTTTTCTGAACTCAAACTAGGATGTTATAAGGCCCTTTTTTAGAAATGAGGAACCTTTAAATAATCTGCAATAACATTCTAATGAAAAATGTTTTCCCATGGATTGTTGGTAAGAAACAAATAGTACCATTCAGCTAACAATCCACATAAGCAAAATTATGGTTTCTACTTAAAATTTATGAAATATGTATAAAAATGTTACCCTACCCCACCCATTTTTACCACTTGTCTGACCATTTTTCTACTTAGGGAGCCTAATTAAAAAAATTCTTAGAATTTACCCAAATGAGTGCCTGTTTTCAAAGTTTCCCTAAATTTTTAAAAAAGTATATTGGTTGATCTTGTAAAATATGAAATACTTTTACCGTCTAGTTTTGATTATATTACACTTTGAAAATATCAGGTACCATATTTATTACTAGATTTAGCATAATTTAGCCAATAAATACCTATATAAATTAAAAATTCAAAATTAAACACTTTTTTCTTTCCATATGGGACATGAGAGATACATAAATAATGTTAAAAGAAAAAAAAAAAAAGTTGACCCTTCTGGGGATTGAACCCATGCCCCTCATTTTCAATGTAGTTAACAGTACTTCTAGCCTATTTGAATACTCTTCAAAGCGGAGGTAATGCATTAGGGTGCTAATACCTTAAGGTATGTCTTTAAATTGATAACACTTTCTCTTGCTTACATAGCAACCTTATCATCTTAATTCGAGAATAAATCGACTGACACAAGTCGGTTGTTTGGTTGAATGACCAGCGAGAAATCTGTCATATGAAAATAATGACCGTGCATTATGAATCGTCCGATAAAGAATCAAACTTTTATAGCCTATTCAAATCTATATCGAGGTTAACATCAGTTACTTGTGATGGGTAATCCCCGACTAAAATGTTATTGCAATCACAGGGGGCCCACACGGTGTTTGGATGGTAAATACTGCTTGACGGTGACCTTTAAATGAGATTTTAGTCATAACCTTATAATATGTAAATAAATGATAGATGAGCAGCTCTTATAAGTAATATATGCTCATCTTTTATATATTTTTGACCTATCACTGTTTTAATTAAAACTTGAACTATACAGATTAGGTATCTACATAAAGACTTACAACAGAAATATTAACTTAAGGGCATATAAAAATGCATCGTGACTTAAACTGTTATTAACTGAATCAATAAACAGATATTACAGTATATACGGAACTTTATAACTTTATAATATAGTGTTATAAAGTGTTATAAATAATAATAGCATCCTTCATCTCTCGGGATTAAATGGTGAGAACATTGTATGTACAATATTATTTATGTCAAAACATTAAATAAATGTATTGTTGTTGTTGTTTTTATCGTTTATTCGTCTTTAACCCTCTATATAACTTGTAAAACCTGAAGGATGCAATTTGTACTCTACATGTTTGTCCACATGGTGGTAAACAAACTCATATTTTAAGTAAGTACACGTGCACTTTTTATATTCGATTAAGAAACTCAATTATATTAATACCAATTGAAAAGATTTCTTAAGCTGCTTAAGGATATCAATACTTTTTCTATAAATACACAGTTCATTCGATTTATTGTCTGATTTTATTGACCTGTCAATTATGAATGCATAACAAGACTCATCCCACTTCGGTTTGGTCCGTGTAGTTTACATGAATTAATGTGGAGTATATAAGTCATGGATTGAAAGTCACACCAGCTTTATGTGAAGGTTTTCGTTAATTCACAATAGCACAGTCGGTTAAGAGAGTGCCTGATATTTTCAAGAGAGGTCTGTGGTTCGATCCTTACTGTTGCCACTAGTACTCTTTCTTTATTTTTGCAGTATATTTTAAATGAACATATTTGTAGTGTGTTTTACGGCATGGAAAACACATTTATTGATTTTAATCCGTATTTATTTATATCTATTACAAAAAAGAAAACATTATGCCATTGCGATAAAACAGTTATAGTATATGAACCTCGTTAAATACGAGGATATAACACTGCCTGGGCGACATCTCGAGATGTTTCTGCAAAAAATTTTCTCGGTCTTACGGCCTCGCCATATTTAGCAGAAACATCCCTTGATGTCGCCCCAGCCAGTGTTATATCCTCGTAACTAACTCGTTAATATAAAAGTTTAAAGTATTTTCTACAAATATAAATCAAGTTTATCTAAAAACCGGTTTATTGTGTATTGGTCGGTCTATATGAAATTCATATTTAAACATTTGGAATGAAGACATTTTAAAGATGAACCTTGTGCACCTACTTGTTTCATAACACTGTGAATGGATTAAAGAAGACACGTTTCCGTAAGTAATAAATTGCAATATATTTAGATCATGTATTTTATAGATCTATTATTTAACTGATACAGTATTTCATTTTCGCTGCATTTTGATCTTATTCAAGCAGACAGCATCATTTTCATTGAAAAACATGTCTTATTTTTTGAGTTGCTTTTTTGTTTGTTTGTTTATTTATTTACATATGTCATGACGTTTTTTTCCGGTCACTTTCGGTTTCCAAAGTTAAACATATCGACTTTTGTTTTAAAAAAAGGTTTAAAAAGGTTTACGTCGTTTATTATAACTTTATCGATTTTTTTAAACTAAACAATTTTGCGAATCTTAGGCCAAAAATAAAATATTGTTTGCTTCCCCTCCTGCTACCTACCCTAAAAAATCACAGCTACCAAAAATTGTTAATTGCCAAACAAAGACAAAAATTTATTTTTACAAAATAAAAGGCTAGGTTCAGTCTGTAAATGAGAATCACATGTTCATATCTGTTTTATGTTTTTAAATTTGCAAACTGGGATAAATGCGGAATTTACCGAAAAAATCATTAAACTTTGATTTAATTTTTTTTTTATAAAATATGCTTGGCATTCACGATTTGTTTTGAAATCCCAATGATTTTAGAAAAAAAGAATTAAAAAAATATTTTGGATTAAAGAGGAATATATTTATACCTACCTATCAAAAAATGCATGGGTTGCGGGAGGGGGACAAAGAAAATGTTAAAGACAGCCTAAATATACCTTGTTTAAGAGCAGAATTTGATTTCGTTCGGTGCTTTGAGGGTCTATTTCCAGTGAACGCTGTACAAAAGTGAGAAAAGTAAAGGATTCGTTCAGACCTGACAAATATTAAAACCATGTATACCTCCGCATTGTGACGAAAAAATTGCTATCTATCTATAACAACTATAGTTGTTAACCTCATAACTATATATGGAGTAGACTCCTTTCTCTATCTAAATTAACAGTGTCTATTCTAGGATTTGTCCTGTTTTTGTTTGGGGTCCGCCTGGGCTCCTTGCCGTTGGTTTTTGTTGCTGGGTCGTGTGGGGGTTGCGTTCATTGAACGTCGCCTTTCCTTGTTGATCTTGTTTATCATATCTTATATAAAACATTAAATAGGTAAAACGGATCAAAGCAAACATTTCGTTATCACATTTTCACTTAGCTTATAAACCTTACAGTAATAAAACTGACAAATATAAGCTAAGTGTAAATGTGATAACGAAATGTTTGCTTTGTTCCGTTTTACCAATTTAATGTTTTATATAAGGCTTCTTAAACTAAAAAAAATTAACGCGTTAAATCTTACGATCACTTTTATATATTGTTCAGGAATACAAGTTCTCTACAGATATCATTCATGTCAGTAGAAAATAATGTATTGAATGAAAGTTTGGTTATGTTCTCTAAGTGGGGTATAAATGTACACGAAAAAAACTTTACATATCCTTAAAAGTATCATTAAAAAATAAAAACAAAATGCTTCAACGACGATTTTGAAAATCAAAATATTCATTTCAGAAAAGACGCATTGCCAATAAGAATACAACTATTTTTTATATTATTTCATAACCTGTTTATATAAACATTAAATCGTTTTATTCACTCATTCTGAATGACCATAGCGAAGCAATATCTGTACTCCTGTCATTTCTATAAATAACTTAGATCGACTGAATTTAAATTACATTCAAGCAGTAGTCTTAACAATAAAATTACCGACTTAAAATCACAAAATTTATATAGTACTATTTGTAGTTAAGCAAAACAGAAACATGATATCTTTATTGATAGACGTGTTGGCTTGTATGTTTAATCTATAAATATAAAAGTCCAGACATGTTTGAATTTCATGTGTATAGTATAGACTCAAAGGACAGTCGAAATGATATTTAAAACCAAACATGTAACTGAAAAAGTAATATGATTTATATAAAGATGTAGGGCGCGTAGTCAGGCCTATAACTAGTAATTCCTACCCAATACCCCCTATACAACTAAATAAAATTTAAATGTTTTAACAAGTTTAAAAAGTTTTTAGATTTTCCCAGAAGATTATAGACCCATGTGGTACAATATGCAAAATATATAATATGGTAAACGTGCAAAGTTGACATGATCTCTTACATGCATTACAGTAGCATATTTTACATAGGAAATGAAAACATATATATTCACCTATTACATGATGTACATGTTTATAATAATTCACATTTTCGTCGTATGTGTCAAAAGTATATATGCAACATAAGTTTTTAAAGTGTGACAAAAATCCAATTGTACCGACTTCATTTAGATTAGATTTATCACTAGTGAAGTAGATAATTTGAAAGATTATTTAAAATCTATATCAATTGAATATTGAATTAAATCATGTTGATAACGAAAGTGTGAATTTTACATACACTTTTACATACTGCATAATATGTAAAAAATTTGATTGTGCACGGGAGATAATTGCTATGGTCTTATCGCTCGACCTGTAAATCGATTTATTTAACATCCACCGCACTATAGCTTTAACAGTATATTGACATAAATATGATAGTCCTGCAGCTAAAGTTTACAATGTTAATTTATTTGATTTACTACAAAATGATATATATGAATACGAGCAGTTAGGAAGAGTACTATTGGCTGGCGATTATAATGCTAGAGTAGGCTTAAACCCAGACTATATTGTATGTGATAGTTTTGTACCAGATATTGACCCTGAAAGTTATTGTCCTGACCGAATCATTAGCCGGGCCTCAAAGGACAAAACATGTAATTCACGCGGCAGTCAATTACTTGATCTATGTAAGGCTACTACATTTAGAATAGTAAATGGTCGTCTTGGTAGTGATTTCAACTCAGGTGAATTCACGTACTTGAATAACAATTCATGTAGTACAATTGACTACTTATTAGTGCGCGAAAAAGATTTTTCCCTAATCCGCGATTTTACCGTTGACAATTTCAGTATTTTCAGTGATCATGCATCATTGCGTTTTTAGCTCGACTTTTCTATGAAAAGGGGAGCTATCCTACTCGCCCCGGCGTCGGCGTCGGCGTCGGCGTCGGCGTCGGCGTTGGCGTCACACCTTGGTTAAGTTTTTCGTACCACCCCACTTTATTTCAGAAGTATTACAAGTATGGCTTTGAAACTTACCATACTTGTTCACCATCATAACCTCCATCTACAGACAAGAGTACATAACTCTGTCAAGGTTTTTGACAGAATTATGGCCCTTTTTTGACTTAGAAAGTGTATTGAGCTTGGTTAAGTTTTTTGTACCACCTCACTTTATTTCAAAACCATTGGAGGTATTGCTTTGAAACTGACCATACTTGTTTACCATCACGACCTTCATCAACAGACAAGAGGACATAACTCTGTCAAGGTTTTTGACAGAATTATGCCCCTTTTTGACTTAGAAAATACAATGAATATGGGTAAAATCCACTTATTGCCTTAACCCTTTGAGATATTGCTTTGAAACTTTTAATGCTATTTCACATCATTACCCCCATCTGTACGCAAGAGAAGTAACTCTGTCAAGGATTTGTTTTAAAAATTAAGGCCTTTTATCGACTTAGAATCTTGGTTAAGTTTTAGTACCAGTCCACTTTTTGACTGAACTGTTTGAGATATTAATTTGAAAGTTGGAATACTTGTTTACCATCATGGTCCCAAAACATGGGCAGGAGAAGGTAATTCTGTTAAGGATTTTATTTGAATTATGGCCCTTTTTGACTTAGAAACTCAGTTAAGATTTTCATTCTTGTCCACTTGTTGACTTAACCATTTGAGAATATTACTTTGGAAGTTGGAGTTCTTATGTGCCATCATGAGACCTATCTGTAAGCAAGAGAAGATAACTCTGTGAAAATGTTTCTTGATTTGTACTTAGAAATTCCTAGTTAAAGTCTTGTGTGCCCTTAACTGTCAAAGTTTTGTTTTATAGGCAAGCACTAAAAAAGTCGAGCGCGCTGTCCTTCTGACAGCTCTTGTTTAATATGTTGTGATCGTATACGTGATCTAAGTCGATCTGATACAAATTTGATCTCTACGTATTTCAAATGGAATGCCGACCATGAGAAAAACTTTAGACGCGGTTTAATTGCCAAGTTGCCCGATTTTAACGAGTTATTATTAAATCATGGCAATCGTGATTTGATTTCTGTTGACAATATAGTCAATAAATTTACTGGTATTATTCGTGAGATAGCAGACCCATTATTTAAGGAAACCCGAAAAAAATTGTAATATACCGACTATTGATGATAATAACAAAACTTGGTTTGACCATGAATGTCGATCATTAAGATCTATTTACGAGGCGGCACTTAATAAGTTTAATGGGAATAAAACTCAAGAAAATCACATTGAACTGAATAATGCAAAATATGCATATAAACAATTAATAAGAAAAAAGAAAAATTTACATTATCAAAAAATGTCTAAACAATTAACAGAATTAAAGCATGCGCGACCCCGTGACTTCTGGCGATTATTTAGAAAACACGACAATAACAAGACTGACTTATCTAATGATGATTTCAAACAGTATTTTTCGTCAATGTTTGAAGATATTCAGGTACAATGTATCGATGAAGTTGTAAATTTTTTGTCAACAGACGAAATTAATATAAGTTCTGATGATGATGTGTCTAAACAATTAAATGAGCGTATATCTATTACAGAAGTACGCGAAGGAATTAGGCGTTTAAAGCGTAACAAAGCTTCATGTCCAGCTGACAATTTACTAAACGAATATTTTTTAAATGCAGCTGACATTTTAGACGGGCATTTAGCGGATTTATTTAACATTGTTTTTGATTCAGGTGTCTTTCCAGAGAAATGGGCCGAAGGTTTCATTATACCGTTACATAAAAAAGGTGATGTGAATAACGTCAATAATTATCGTGGTATAACGTTATTGAGTAATCTCGGTAAATTGTTTACGGGGATTTTAGATGCGCGAGTCGTTAAGTGGTGTGAGAGTCAAAAAATTACCAGATGCG